CTATACCCGGTAAGTATTACTTTTGCTAAAAAGCTTGGTCTGATCGAGAAAAAATAAAACAGAATCAGACCCAGATTTTGCCGCAGCAGTCACAACGCAGCAGAGAGAAGGATTTTGGGGGTGCTGTCTGGTCCTGTCGGCTCTGGTGCGACCTCCCTACCATTCCGCTGGTCCATCACCCATCTCTAGGCTCTAGTTCCCCATCACCTTGACCTCTTTCTTTGCACACTCTTGCAAGATGACGTTGTCAAACTCTTGGTAAGTCACTTTACAAGTTACATTAAAATATATCTCTTCTTTATTATCTATTGGTGTGCTTTCTAACAAACTTTTTGTATTGTTCGATTCAGATGACCATCCTCACAACACAGTCTGATATCCGTGATCTTCTTGCCTAGCTTTGTCTCACCATCACCTCACCAGCTCTTTCTTCCCACACTCTTTCAAGAAGGTTTTGAATTGTTGGATTGATCATAACAAGCATTTGTTAACAAATCAAAAAAAGAAATGATGATGAAGTTTTTACGGAGCTCACAACTGCTGTGCTAATGTGAGAGAAAAGCCAAGTTGAATGAGATGTATCCTAATATCCTCAACTTGTCCGGTGCCAAGCTATGCTGAATAACAATTGGATATCTCATGAAAGATATCTCAAATGTGAGTGACTTTTCAAGGTAAGCAAGATCATCAGAAACATCGACTGGTTATGACCAATATCAAAACCAATCAATTCCTGATTGATTCTCCTACAAGGCAATCCTATGATCGCAACTTGAGAACAATCTCAAATCTCTTATGAAATAAAACCTAAGATCTCATCGGGTTTGAAGTCAAGATTAACAACGATCTCATTTTTTTGAAGACATTCCACATCCAAGAATCGATTGATTTTGCTCGGTCAAAACCAATCAACCTTCCTATGCTCCTACAGAAAAGATTGTGAAAAATCTCAGCTCTCTTGTGTAATCTAGAGACTGATTTCACAAACAAGATCAAAATCGATCGCTTTGCTTGTGATCCTTTGAAGAAGATTGAAACGATTTCAGTTTCACGCCAATCTTATCTATAATTCCTTGTTTCTAATTTTTATACGATGACAATCTTCTCTAACTACAATTCATCTAATACAAACAAACGAGCTCCCCTTCAAATATCTGAAAACCACAATGATGATACAAAATTCCGTTCGACTGGATTTGGCCTCGTAACTAAAACTTGTGATCTCGAGACAACAAACTTTGACACATTGAATCCAAAATTGATAGGGTTCAACTTGGGAAAGTATGGTGGTATGCATTGTAGAAGGATACCTAGAAATGATATTGGGGATCATCAGTAAGTTCAATTAATTGCACTGAGGAGACAAATGGGAGGAATTGAAGTAAAAAAAGTGTACCTTTTTCCTACAGATCAGCAATGGGTTGGCCACGATTGATAAACACGTTTCCAGGATGTGAGAAGCAGCGAGCGACTGAGTTGAGTTTAGTGATGAAAACAAAGTAATCAACAGGGACAGGGATTTGAAGGATATGACTGGGAGCTCGCACCAGAGCCAACAGCACCCCCAAAATCTTTCTCTCTGCTGCGTTGTGACTGCTGCGGCGAAATCTGGGTCTGATTCTGTTTTATTTTTTCTCGATCGGGCCAAGCTTTTTAGCAAAAGTAATACCTCGACTAAAAAAATAAAATTTCATGACCTGTAGTAAAGTACCTGGCTCCTAGGTACGATACTGCCAGGTACTGTACTGGCAAAAACAGATACTGTACTGTACTATACCGGTACTAGTACAGTAACTGTTGCTGCGTTGCCAATAGAATTAAGAAAGTTGAAGATGTGTTGTTTTGTGTTTTTTTGGAGAGGTTTTGAGGGGTTCTTCTAGTCCATGTGTTAGTAAGTTGACCATTACTCATGAGAAGGTAAAAAGTGTTTGTTTTTTTTGGAATGATTGAATTGCAGACAGATTTTTTTTTCAAACGTAAGATTGGAAACCATGAGTTGATTGGTACTTTGGATCTTGTAAAAAAAAGTCAAATTGGATCTGATTTCAAATACACACACAGAGGATCAGATTTTCTTTTGAAAGGGTTTTCGAAAGAAATAGAATTGAATTTCAATCAAAAGAAAAGAATTGATCAAAAAGAAAGAATTGATCAAAAAGAAAGAATTGATCAAAAAAAGAAAGAAAAATCAGATGAAGTCCATGAAAAGATTAATCAAAAATAAGAATATAAGATAGAGAATATAGAAACCAAAAAGGATTATATACCACACACATATACATGGGCTTAACAAGTAATTGATTGGTTGCAAAAGGAAAGAAAACACAGACGATTTTGTAGTTAGATGAAGGTGTATTCAACTTTGAAAAAACATCTTTGATGATCATCCAAAATCTACGTATGTACATATGTAAAACTGTTTAAGAATTTGTGATGGTTTCTAGGGGGTTTTATATTATTTTACAAATCAAATCGAATAGTTTTTTGGTTTTTTTAATGGTTCTTCAGTTTATCTTTCAAGACTTTAATTTCTTCACGTCTAATCAAAAGTCAAACCACAAAAGAACAAATACCAAATAGAACAAAAGGAAAAGGAACTCAGTGATCTGAAACAATCTTCAAGTAGTGTTTATCTTTCCAAAAAGAAAACAAGACTTACAATTCATCTAAACTGATCTTTAAACTTACTGAATCTTCTAATTGTCTTCTTGAATTAGCTTCTTCTAGGTATCCTTCAACCAATCTTTCTTGTTCTAAAAGTACATTTAATTGATTAAAGTCTTGATTAGTTTGATTACTTAGACTAGTTTGAATCGAATTGGAATTCGAATTAAAAGGTAAGATTTCATTCTCTTTTGAAATTGTGTTAGATTCGATTCTTTCAGCTGGAATCAAAGCTTTAGACCTAACCGAAAAAGGCTTATCATGTTTAGTCGAACCAGTAGAAGAACTCTTGGGTAATTCAATCACATCGAATCCTCCAATACTTCTGATTAATCCCATATGATCACGTAAGAAGAATGCAGAACGAGTGATGATAGCTTTCTTTAACCTTTCTTCTGATGTGTTTTGAGAATGGTTCGAGTTTGAAGGATGGGTTAGGTGGGATAACCTTTTGGAGGTCGAATCGTAGGATTGTAGGTTTCGTAAAAGTCTTTTTCTCATGTTCATTAATTGAAGTGGTGGTAATGGTTTACTTGGGTTTAGATTCGAAGTGGGATTCCTATTTTTCAAAAATAAAGATTAATGAATGAGAGAAGTGATTTGAGGGAATTTGAATGGGATCTGATGGACTGACTTTGAATTGATCATCATTTCTTGAAACTCAGGTAAACTACGTTCGATTTCATCTTGTAATTGTTTGAGGATCGAATAAAGTTTCAAGTACTCTGGAAGATCGATAGGATAAGTCATCGATTGTCTTCTCAAGACGATCGTTAAACATTCTCGACAGACTCTTACACCTTTAGGTTTAGAGATCAACGGATTCTGTTGTGGAACCGAATTCGGATCTGGTTTTTTATGAATCATATCAAAGACGCTTTGTCGATCATCTGCACTCATCCCGATCTCTTCGTCATTCAATTCAATGATTCTTCCTTGATAATGTTGATCTTGGTTTAAGTTCCATGATTTCTCTTGACCCGAATTCGATTCATTGGTCATGATTCTAGACTTGATTAATTCTTCACTATCCCATTCGAATCTAATAAAACTTGAACACCTTTCTTTTCGAGTTTGTTTTTCTTCTTCTCCAGCTCCATGAATCGGTTCATCAATCGGTAAGAAACAGATCACTTTTCCACATAACCTACAATGATGTTTTCGTACTCTTACACTGAATTGTGAATTACAAATCGTACATCGTTTGATTTCTGAATCTTCTTGCCATCTTACTATGGTTTGTTCTTTGGATCTGATAGTTGATGTACTTTCGATCAAACCTGAAAGATAATGATTTGTAAGACTTGTAAATGAATTCAAAAGTGGTGTTGCTGTGGTATGATGATCGTCTTTTGAAGTTGAATTGGAAGTTGAAGTAGATGGGTTCGGGAAATGTAAATCGATTAATCTTTCTAACCTTTTCTGTAACCTACTTTCTTCTAATCGTTTGATTTCTTCTTTACCTTTTCTAAATGAAACCAAAAGATCAGTACGGTTTCGATAAACTCCTTTGGGTTGGAATCCTGATCTGAATGGAACTTGTGTGTGAGACGGTGGGAGTGATGAGAATTTAGAAGAACTAGATGAAGATGAAGTAGCTTGATGAAACAGAGCTGGGGTGGTCGGTCTTGAGTTGATAGGTGATGAGGTGTTACTGTTGATCGAATTGATGGATCTTGAATGTTGATGATGGTTTGATTGACGAATTGAATTTAGATGAGGTGATGATGATGATGATGATGAATGATCTAAGAATTGATGATGTATGATAGGTAATGAAGTTAGACTTGAAGGTCTTTGATTGAGATCTTTTGATGATGAATTGATAGTTGAAAGTGAAGAAGATGAATGATGGTTTGAGTTTGATTTGAGTTGATGTTGTTGTTGTTTTGATGTATATGTTTTATAGTTTAATGGTGATGGTGTTGGTGTTGGTGAACTTGGTAAAGTGTTCATCGTCTCGTTTGGTGGTTCTTGATGATGATGATGTTGATGAAGAAGACTATTATGATTTTTATTTTTTATTTAATTTAGTTTTATTTTATTATCCGATCCGATCCACACTTTCAAGTTCCATCAGTCCTTCCATCCCATGTCCAGTCTCAATCAAACTGCAAGGATGAAGTGTTCATGAACTGGATGCAAACAAGACTGTGATTTGAAATCTTTCATTCTGTGATGTTGTCCTTTGACTTTCTCTTGCATCTTGCCAATCAAACATTTTCCAAATCAAACCATCCTCATCATGATATCTACAATTTTTCTCATCATGAACATGCAGAACTATCAAATCAACCTTTTCTTGTTTTCTCTCAATCAAATTCCAGAAATCCATCTTAGATCTTTCAGTCTGCATAACTAAACCAGCTCATCTCTTCTCCCTTGCTTCTACTTATCTTTGTAAAATTTATCACCTCACCGGGCTATGAGTATCACCTTTTGCTTCAAGCTAATCTAAGATGCCATAGCGTACAAGTTTGAGAAAATCTTTCCTTGAATCATTCCACAAAAACTACGATTGTACACATAAATCCTCAAAACAATTCTCTCTTCATGTGATATATTGAATTGATTTTGATTCGATTCAGACTTGGGATTTTTAATCAAATGAAGTTGTGTGTTTTGTGGTGCAAGATGACATCATAGTGTGAGAAAGTTGACATCACCATGTCAGCATCGTCTGAGTACAATTCTTTACGTCATTTGATATTTTTTGTATTTACACAAAAACACGTTTCTTAAAAGATTTCCCCTCGTTATACATCCTCATACATCTCTCTGTACTTTAAAAATCTTGATTTTGGATTGATCCCTTGCTTTGAACTTTCAACTTCAACTTATTCCTCAATTAACCTTTATCCCTTTAAATCTGATTTTAAACACGTCTCTCTTTACTTCAAAGACATCAAATAACTTATAACTCAAGATGCATTCTCTTCATATCTTGGTTTTCTTTCCCACCGTAACTTTCGCTCAACTTCAATTCATCTCTCGTGATCCAATTGTCAATGGCAACATCGTGAGTATCTTCTTTAACTTCTTTTGCTTTTCAGAGACTTCTCAACTCACATAAATCATCTTGAATGGATACTAAGAAATCTTTTCTTTATTGCTTTGGATTTCGTAGACTACTATTCCAACGTGTGCTGTGACCTGTTCACTTCAGGTAGCTTCAAGAACAAGATGTAGCGGTGAGCTTCTAACAAAATTTTCTGATATTTATTTGAATTTAAATCTTGGTCATCAGAAAATTGTAATCTGGTCTGATAAGCTTTGGTTTGGAAATTTTTATAGATCCTTCTGACTCTTCATGCTCATGTACTGATCCAGTCTTTCGAAAAGAAGTACTCGCTTGTTGTAAGTCTAATAGTCAAACTGTAATTAAACTAATAGATTATATTTTGATAATTATACAATTTTTCACTTGGTTTGACTTGAAAAGACCACAGAGTAAGTTCTTCGATTCTTCTTTTTTGTGTAAAACTTGTAGTTAATAGAACCCATCTTACGAATCTTTTTTTCAGCAATGCGATGAAGTTAACCTTGAATTGTCAATCAAATTCGCCAACGACACCTGTGCCAAAGCTAGTCAATCTGTAGGTCACACTCAAGCATCCTCTTACCAGAAGGATTCATTTCATTAAACGCTCATTTTTCATTTGGGTTTTATTTACATTAGAATCTCAACGACACCATCGTTTCTAATACTTCTAGTACGGACAATTCTACAACTTATTCTCCTACCAATTCTGTGAACATTAGTGATCCTCTTAGTGTGGGTAATGTTACGGGTAACCTTACTGGTGTGAAGAATGGTGATTTGGTTAGCAACTTTAGTGTTTCGAATACTTATACTCAACCTATTAGTGATTCTAGTCGTCTTAATGATTCAACTATCACTTCTGGTAAGCTTTTTCATGTCTTTTCCGTCTGGTCGTCAATATAGTCTGATGTTTTTTCTTTTTGTGGATTTTTTAGCTTCTTCAAGTACCACATTGAAAACCTACACATCTAGTACTCTTATGTTCAGTTCTATTCTTTGCTTTACCATGTTTTTATACAATACATATATTTGATTTGGTTTAATTTGATGTGAATAAATCAAGTTTGAGATGATCAAAAACTGGTATACATAAATCATCTTACTTATTCATTTTCCTTTTTGTTTGACTACTTTGGATTTTCTTTTTTTATCATTCGAATTTTCTAACCTTTTTTTTTCCTTCTTACATTCTCTCATTTTTATTTATTTATTTTTTATGATTTTGATAATATCAATCATTTTCTTACTTTTAAAAATTTCATTTTTTTTATACCTCTAGCATTGCATAAGGATTTTTACCTTTTATATATATATATTAGTGTAATTCAAAAGATTGGTTTCTTTCAAATACATAGGATCTTTATCAATCGTCTTTTAGTCAAGTGAGAATATCTTATTGCTATGGTATGATTGACAAAGTTTGTAATTCTCAAAGGAAGGTATGTATTTTGGTAGATCTGGCGCAGTTCAGTGCCCTGGTGATCATCACTAGCGCATTGGGCATCGGGATTCACCAAAAATTCACTGCGCCATCTTCAGCAATGAGCACCAAAATGGCTCGGCCGCATTTCATCCAATGCCCAAAACCACAACCGCAGCCCAGTTTCTTGCTGAAGCCAACTGGTTTCTCCGCCAAAATTATCATCCCTGCACTGCGTTTTGATACGCAGCGCAGAGGATTTGCCGATTTTGACCGAGATACTTCGCAGCACAAAAGTCCACTTTATGTACCAGCGCAGCGCGTTTTGGTGCAAAACTGCGCTGGGGTCAGACGTTATTGGGAGACTAATCAGTTGGTGGTTATAGAGTGATAATTAGATTCTTGAATAAGAGATCTTAGAGTTTCGTGTTGAGGTTATGAAGATTTGGACACGCATATGATCAGAGATCATGAGGGTTTAATTGAAAAACTGGATTGATAGGATGAGGATGAGAGTTTGGTAAGTTTGGCAGGAGGTTGAGGTAGCTAGAAGATTTTAGACCCGTTCGAAAAGAATTGATCCTTTGTTTGTCAATACAAGATTTTGATGAGCCAGGCAATGGAGTTGCATTTGCTGCACTGGGATTTCTTGCACGACTTCTTGCCAGATGATGAATTTACACTGTCAGATCGACCACCCCGCCCGGCCGCCGGTCACTCGGACCACCAGGGCTGTTCAGATATTTTGGATGTGTCAAGGTTTTTTTGGATTGACCAGTTTGAAGACCAAGCAAGTTGTTTCATTTTCTTCACTTCTAAAAAAACCTTTTCAACCAAAATGGATAACGCCAATCCAACGATTAAAATCAAATCAAATTCAACAAACTTTCAATCGAATTCAAAAAACCAAAAGATCATCAAGTTTGATGAAATCTCATTAAAAGATAGCATTGAATCTGGTTCCATCAATACTTCAATCTTGAGTTCGAAATCAAAAGAAAAAGTGAATCAAGAAGAACTTCAACCGATCGATTCTAATGAGATCTTTGGTTAGTTTACACATCTTCTTTTATCATACTAGGATCTATGCTGAAGTTGACTGATTTAAATTAGACTTGATCAGGTCTATCACAGACCCTGAACATCCACTCACTTTGGAAGACTTATCAGTAGTCTCAAGTGAGCAAATCGAAGTAACTTATCCAGAGGACGAAGACGATAACCCTCATGTGATGGTTCGATTTACTCCTACTATCCCCCATTGTTCAATGGCTACTCTGATTGGTTCGTATCTATCTTACAACCGATCTCTCTTTTTCATCAAGTTGATGACTTGAAGGATTTCTTTTCATTGATTTTTTCTTTCGCAGGCTTGACACTTAGAGTTCGACTGCTTAGAGCTTTGCCTGATCGGTTTAAAGTAGATATTAAGATTAAAGAAGGTACACATCAATCTGAGAATTCAGTCAACAAAGTAAATCGGATTTTATTTTCACCCATCACTCAACGATCACCAATTTCTGATGTTTTGATGACTTTTTTCTTTTGCTTCTTTTTAGCAATTGAATGATAAGGAAAGAGTAGCAGCAGCTTTAGAGAATGCTCATTTATTAAATGTTGTACAACAATGTTTAAGTACAGCTCATCTACGTGGTCAGAAAACTTGAGTTTAAGGATCGATCAATCGTTTTGGGTTAATCAAATTGTATTATTATACTCTCGATTTTTGTAAATTGTAAAATCCTTGACTTTATTAAACTGATTATCATTTTGATTAATTAGACTTTAGCATGGAAGAGTTTGGAAAAATGAAAGAATTTGACTTGATGAAAGATAGGTTGTACCAAAGTGTCATGTTTCAAATAATGAGCTTCAAGCCAAAAAAAAAACCAACAACATTAAAACACATTCCATCTCTACTACTATAGGTAAGTCATAGGTGTACAAGCTCTCGTGTTTATAAATTACAGCTGTTCTAAGAATTCGTGTCATGGTCGAATTTGTTTTTTTTGTTTCTTTGACACCTCCATTCAAATGACTGCCCATACAGGCGCTGTATACTAGGTCGTGTATCACATATCTTAAGCTAGGTCCTCCTACGTGAAGACCTGGCAGATGACAGGGCTTCTATCCTGGTCGCACCATTCACTCACCCAACACTTTCCCTCAGCATCACCTTAATTGCATTCACTCAACACCTCACTTGTCTTCCATCACCGGTCGGAATCAATGGTGTTTGGCTCTGAGACCTTTCAAGACTCAACATCACTATACGACTGCGGCAAATTTTTCTAGCAACCACAACTTGATCGGGTGGCGATTGGGCATAAATGGTGGTCTACCTTTCGATCTCGTTGGACCAACTCCTCACGTTTTTGGACGACATCAGTCTGTTTAATTCCCAGAAAATGCCAATCAGAAAATTCTCTATGTTCGAGTCTCAGATTTCTCTTTTTTTGGTTATCAGTCTCACTGACTTCATCGATTTCCTGTCTTTGGTTCATTTGCAGGCCGTCCGACGGCCGATTTGATAACTTACGATCCTCGCCACGTACTCGCACTCGCAGTTATCAAGCTATGATTTCTGGAGCGGACACGGTGGCCTCAAGTCGGTAAGCATGTCAGTCTCATTACATTTCAGATATAGTCATTAACCTCAGGACCTTTTGTAGTAACACTTTGGGTTTCCTCAATCAAATGGAAGCGTTGTCAAACTTACCGCCTCATTACCTGCCTCACCCACCACCTCCGTCTTATTTGCCCTCCATGTCACCTTCAAAGGGTGACATGGCTAACCCGATTGACCCGACTGACTTGATTACTCCTGCAATGACCCCTCAATTGACCCGTACCCCGGCTGGTCTCGAATTGGCTAGCGGTCCGACTTTCCCTGCTTTCACCTCGTCCCAGTCTTCTTCTGGCTCTTCGATGAATCCTCACATCAGTCCCATGTTTCAAACCTCTCCAACGTTCCATCATCCTGCATCCGCTACTTCGTTCTACTCTACCTCGTCAGTTACTCCTGTAAAGCGTAGTTTCACTGCGAGCAGTCGCCTAGATGATGATATGAACCACAACCCGGCTCCAGGTATGTCCTTGATGCCAGTCCAAGCCTTGGATTACCTGTTGCTAATCATGTGTTTCATACAACCTACCAGAATTGCCTGTCGATTGTTTTGATAATATCATACCCGCTGATGATATTCTCAACCAACCGGCGGAATCGATCCCTGAGCGAGCCTTTCAGGTCTCTTTCAATCTCTGGCAACTGGTTGTTCCTGAATCTCCTGAACCGAAGAAACAGAAGCGACGCTCTGGAGGACGCAGACCCAGCAAGCCCAAGAGCAATGCCCCTAAGTACATCAACTACAACCCAAAACTCGGCCATCAGTTCATTTTCCGTCCTCGCCATTGTCCCTTTGTCGTTTTCAAAAGAGAGCTCTTCATGTCTTGCAACAAACAACTCCCAGGTGTCTCAGATGCTCTCCAGCGTGCGTGGATGGACTCCAGTCTCAAAATTCAGGCTTCTATCACCGGAGCTGGACGTCCGAAGGGTAACAATAAGTTTGAAATCGTCGAAGGGACTTCTTTCTTCGATTTCATGAATGCCGCGATGGCTGCTCCTGACACGGCCAAGATGGGTTTCAAGATCATGCATGAAAACCCCAAGGTTACCGCTAATGCACTTCGATCTTTGAAAAACACCGCCGAACCCCCAGAACACCCAGACGATTCTGAGAGCTCTGATGGTGACGAGTCTGTCAGATCCGAAGGAGTGAGTTTTTTCTTTCATGTCTTTTTGTGTTCATTTTGCTCTGCCTATGCCTTTCAAGTGGACTGACATGTCTTTCTGGCAGTCGGACATCCTCACCCCAGGAGAACGCAAACTCCAAATCTTGATGGAACACTTCTCAAAAGATTTCAAAAAAGGCGAAAACATCACCTCTGTGCCGAATCCGAAGGACCCAAGTCAGATCCTTATTTTGAACACGGCACGCTTACGCACGTGGGCCAATGATTGGGTCAGTCATTCATTCAGATTCTTCATTCTCCAACTACCACTGATTTTTGTCATTCACAGGCCGATGAAGTTCCTGGTGTTGACACTGTCAACCCCCCTATGTCTCGTCCTGGGTTTACCTGGGTCAACGTCGCGGATTATGAGCGTGAAAAAAACCTCCTCCTTGGGTTGTACCGTCCTGGCGCCGACATTTCGGCGAATACGACTTCACCTGGCGCGACCATAGTTCACAACAACTATTATGGACACCACGCGTTTCCACCAACTGGCCAGCCTATTCCGTTCCCCGGAATGCCACCCGTCCCAAACACAGCTATGCCTTTGCCTGGGTATTCTGGTGGAGGCGCCGCTGGGGATCCTCCAGCAGAACCACTTCGTTTGCCTTCTCCGTCCGTTCCGATTCCCGACTTTGAGACTTTCTTACTTTTTGCTGGTATACAACCCAATATGACCAAAACTCGAGAGGTTTTGGCTAATGAAGGCATAGACGACGTTCGTCGTTTGTTGGACCGTGGTACTTACACCATCGCCAACTTTCACAGCATGGGAGTGCCTTTCGCTCATGCTGAGGACATTTGGAAAGCTGTCCCGAAATTCCTTGACCATCTTAAGTCTATTTGATTATCTCTGTCTCTCGATTGTCTTTATTCAAAAATCTAAAGCAAGTTATGTTGGAGCGATAAAAAATCCCACCAAATGTTCCTTTTTTTTTCTTACTGTTTCTTCAACTGCCTTCGAGGCAAAGCGCTTTTGTTTTTAGTTCACTTGAACTTGATCTCAGTTTCTTTAAACTTGTGAACCGATGATGTGAACCAATGACTTGTTTTTCTTCATTTTATGAGAAATAAAAAATATCCCCTGTTTTGCTCTTTACCCATTCATATCGGTTAAAGGAGTGACCCAAACAGCCAAGCAACCAGAAAACCTTTCAGGCTCATAAAGGTCTGACCCAAACAGCCGAGCAACCAACACTTAAAGTATGACTTGTATAAGACCGAATACAAGTCATACTTTAAAGTCCAGATTGCCAGACTTTAAAGTGATGGAGGTCACTATTGACTGCTGATATATTGATGAGAGTTAAAGATCTGTTTTGGAGACTTTCATGATCAGACAAGTCTATGAATAGTTGCGATCAAAATGTTTTGATTGCAGGATACCAGGACAACACACAAAGAGACAAGAGGGACAAAAAAAAATCCATCCAAGGTGCCTCTAAGAAGACAACCGGATTTGGACTTGAAGGCGTAACTAAATATAACCCTCACTACACAAACAACAATTTGATAACTAAAACCTTTCCAACAAGGCGTAACAAGAGATACGTCTGAGATATCACTATAGCTCAAGATAGACAACTAAAACCACTTCCAACCATGTACTCGCCACAGGTAAGTCGAAACATTGGTATTAAGTCGAAACATCGGTAAGTCGACACATCGGTAAGTCGAAACATTTGCTAAGATTCAGAGACAGACAGGCCTTGATGAGCAACTTGCCTTTTGATAAATACAGAAGGAACTCACCTTCAAAATTCATCAACTATTCAAACCCAATACCCACACACCGCATATAGTTGGTGCATTAGAGCCCCTGTGAATACATCCCAAGTGGTATCCAAGATCAAGTCAATTTTCTCTCCCGCGGGGGTTTGCTGAAGGCTTTGAGTTCTTCGGAAGTAAGATTTGAGAACACTGAATGCTTTTTCAATCGGGTTTAAATCAGGTGAATAGGGTGGCAGGTAGATCAATCGAATCCCTTTCTCGGCAGCTAGTTCAGCTATACGACCACCATGATGGATTCGACAGTTGTCCATGACCAAGACTGAATTTGCTTGTGGATAAGCATTCATCACAGGAAACTGCATACATATAAAACAGATCAGTACATCTCCCATATGAAACCACCTCCTAATCAAACTCACAAGGCGATGCTTGAGAAATCCCTCAAAAGTGCGGCGATCATACCCTCCTTCTTGGCAGTCCAAGGTTAAAACACCACCCCTGAAGATCGCAGGTAGGACCAAAAACCGTTTCCCACTGCGGCTCCAAGGCACACGTGAGGTACGCTGCCCGCGGACCGCTCGGCCATGTTCCCGTCTGAGGTATCTCTCTTGAATGGAGCATTCGTCTAAATGAAAAAGCGTGTTACTGTTTGTTAGCATTTGGCCGGTCTCATGAAGACAAAACAAATCATAAATAAAATAAAATTTTCATCAGCTCACCTAGAAAGACGAGCATGTCCGGGGTAAGTCCTCCCACCGCGTGTAGATACCTAGCTCGCTTTAAAGGGCATTGGCTTGGATGCACAGTACGAGTCTTCTTGACAGACACGTTGAGCCGCTTCTTGAGATCGTTTGCTACTGTGGCTAGGCAGAGCCAACTTCCAGTTCGTCGATACACCACATTTCGATACTCGTCCAGGTAGAGACTGGGATTGCCTTCGAGTAGCTCAATCACAAAGTCTCGATCTTCATCTGTCAACCTTGTGTTCCTACCCAGTTTGGCATAATCGGCAGGGTTGCGAACCACGGAGTACGTGCGTCGGTATAAAGCGTGCCATCGCGAAATGGTGCGTGGGCTGACGGACGACTTCAATAGACGTCGTACAGCGTCAATCGTCCTTCCGGCTCGCAGATATTGAACC